AGGTGTCAATCAGGCTGGCTGGGGAGCGGTTAGGGGGTCATCAGGTTGGTAGGCAGAAGCTGTAGGGGCAATCAGGCAGGCATGCAGGCAAGTGGTTAGGAGCCGGTGGTCCCGGAATGTGAGAAGGATGTTTAACTGCCAGACATCCTCTGAGGGGTCCCAGATTGGAGAGGGCGTAGGCCGAGTTGAAGGACATCCTCTTTCCCCCTTTCACGAATTTTGGGCACCGGATCTCTAGTATTACATATATCCCGTTTTTCCAGTTTTTCTAGTATTACATATTGACCCCTTCTAGTCTGCTCCGCTCTCCACCCCAGGCCTTTACCACCCTGTTGTCTGTGTCCATAGGTTATGCATATATGCATACAAGTTCTTTGGTTGATTACTTCATTATTATTTTTTTAAATATATTTTATTGATTTTTTTACAGAGAGAAAGGGAGATAGAGAGCTAGAAACGTCGATGAGAGAGAAACATGGACCAGCTGCCTCCCGCACACCCCCTACCAGGGATGTGCCTACAACCAAGGTACATGCCCTTGACTGGAATCGAACCTGGGACCTTTTAGTCCGCAGACCAATGCTCTACCACTGAGCCAAACTGGCTTCGGCGATCACTTCATTATTTTTATTTTAAAAAATATTTTAATTGATTTTTAGAGAGAGCGATAGTGAGAGGGAGAGAGAAACATCTATGTTGAGAGTGAAACACTGGCATGACTGCCTCCTGCATGCCTCCTATCTGGGATCAAGCTTGCAACCCAGACATGTGTCCTGACCAGAATTGAACCAGCACCCAAACAACAGAGCCACACTGGCCAGGGCTAAAAACCTAAATTTAATAAGACTTATCAAGGAATATCCCCAAAAGGGGATATATATATATATATATATATATATATATATATATATATATATATATTTCCAACAATAAAGAATTATAGAAAGAAAAAAGGGAATATCCCAAAGAATAAACAAACCAGCAAAATTAGGTCAAATGAAAATCTTTTTGTTCTCAATTTGTTTTTCAGTACTTAAGTATTTGTGTGTGTATGTACAACTACATTTAGAAACATTTAATTGGCTGCAGCGTGGAGGTAGAAAGTTTTTAGACTGCGTAGTTGAAAAGTGTGTTTCTTATTCTTTTTTGAAATTAAAGTATTATATTCATCAAGAAAATAAACAAATCATAAGTGTACTACTTAATGATTACCGGAGTGAACATGGCTAAGACCAGCTTTAGGATTTTTTGTGTGTTGTTTTTTAAAAAAATGTTTTTATTGATTTTTAGAGAGAGAGAGAAAAGACAAGAGATAGAGAAATAGAAACATTGATGAGAGAGGAACATCATTGATTCGTTGCCTCCGGCACACACTCTTACTGGGGATCGAGCCCTTAGCTCGGGCATGTGCCCTGACTTGGGAATCAGTGATTTCTTGGTTCCTGGGTCATTGCTCAACCATTGAGCCATACAGGCTGGGCTTGTTTTTAAATTTTCTTCCTTGTGAATCTATATGTTGAAATTGTTAAATTTACAAAAGGATATATTGTTGTTATTTTTTAAATTAAGGAGGAAAATTAGGCCTTAGTAATGTTCCAAACTGTTAACCAAACAGGGGTATTTTTAAAATCTATTTGAATTGTAATTATATACATATACATATACATATACATATACATATACATATACATATACATATACATACACATACACATACACATACACATACACATATGCATGTATACACACACACACACACACACTAGGTGTACTGGTTAATCAGATTTTTTCAATAGATGGAGTTACACATATGTTGATATATATGTGATTTGATATATATGCTATTTTGTTGTATTGACAGCAAGCTTCAAAACTTCATATATCAAGTTTTCTAAAGGTGTTAACATCATAGATATTTTTACACTTAAAAATGTCAAATTTTGTGCCAAAAAAAGAGCATTTGTGGGAAGTTTTAATTCATTGCTTTATTTTGAATAAAAAGTTATTGTATATCTTGGGAAGCTTATGGTGAACATGTTCCATCTCAAGATACTTGTGAACACTGGTTTAACACTTTAAAAGTGATGATTTTGATGTGAAAGACAAAGGATGCCCAGGTCAACCAAAAAAGTTTGAAGACCAACAATTACAAAGCATTATTGAATGAAAATGCGTGTCAAACTCAAAAACAACTTGCAGAAAGATTAAACGTTGCTCAGCAAACAATTTCTGATCCTTTATAAGCAATGGGAAAGATTTTAAAGGAAGGAAAATGGGTGCTATATCAACTGAACGAAAGACAAATGGAAAACCGAAAAGTCATCAGTAAAATGTTGATTCAACTGCACAAAAGAAAGTCTTTTTTGCATCAAATGTGACTGGTGATGAAAAGCGGATTTATTTTGAGAATCCCAAATGCACAAAATCATAGGTTGATCCAGGCCAATCATCAACATGCTTGCAAGGCCAAATTGCTTTGGAAAGAAGACAATGCTCTGTGTTTGGTGGGATCAGGAAGGTGTGGTGTATTATGAGCTTCTAAAACCAGGTGAAACCGTTAATACTGATTGATTCTGACAACAAATAATCAATTTGAACAACGCTTTTAAAAAAATATATATATTTTATTGAGTTTTTTACAGAGAGGAAAGGAGAGGGATAGTTAGAAACATCGATGAGAGAGAAACATCCATCAGCTGCATCCTGTACACCCCTTCTGGAGATGTGTCCACAACTAAGTTACATGCCCTTAACTGAAATCTAACCTGGGACCCTTCAGTCCACAGGCTGATACTCTATCCACTGAGCCAAACGAGTTAGGGCTGAACCACGCTTTGATCATGAAATGACCAGAATGTGCCAGAAGACACAGCAAAGTAGTTTTGCTTCATGATGCTGCTGCTTCATGATGACGCACCATCACACACTTCAAAACCAGTTAAAGACACATTAAAAGCCCTTAGGAAGTATTAACCCACCTGCTGTATTCGCCAGACCTTGCTCCTTCAGATTACCACTTGTTCTGACCCATGGCACTTGTACTTTCTGATCAGCACTTCAAAACACATGAAGAAGTGGGAAGTTGGGTCTCTGAATGATTTGCCTCAAAACAAGAAAAGTTCTATTGGAACTGTATCCACAGATTACCTGAAAGATGGGGAAATGTGTAGGTAGCGATGGACATGACTTTGAATAAAACACTTTTGATGATTCTCTTGAAATTATGTTTTTTTAAATTACAAATCCACTATAATTAACTATCGATAGTATATCTAGTTACATACATACATACATATATGTTCCTTGTTATTTGCATTGTCTAAGATAACTAAGTCATAATACCTTGTTTTGTTAAAATCTTTTGTTGGCTAAAAACTAGTTTCCTTATATGTAAGACTTGATTTGTATAGGTTGAATTGGTAGCCCAATTTTAATTTCAAGTTTGAAATTTAGTCAAATTATTAAGATTATTTTAAAAGGAGACTATATTGTTTCTATGCTCTAAGTTAAATTCAAATAGGAAAAGTGTACCAAAAAAATCTGCTTACCTTGTGTAAATTTGGCCTAGTTTCCGCTGTAAATTGGGTTAGTTTGACCAACAGATGTACACCTTTGAAACTTCCTCCATTGATACTGGTGTAAAGTGATGCTTAGAGATAGATTCAGGTTAACTGGAAATAGTAAGGCATTATGGAAAAAAAAAAAGTCTTTGCTGATAGCAGATGAGAACGATGAATGTCACTAGAGTTTTCATGCTTTGAGGTGCTGCCTGGGAAGTGGTGCTGTCTTTGTAGACACTTGAAAAGAACTCACATTTTGCTATCAGTGACCCACCCAAACCTAGTAGGTCTTCTCTTCCTGTATCTTTCTAACTGGAATGTTTATATACCCTTCAGGGCAGTGTTAAATAGCAAATTGGCTCTTTACTTTCAAACCGATCCTATATAATAAAGAGGTAATATGCAGATTGACCTTCATACCCTTGTGTTACAAGATGGCCACCCCCACATTGTCACAAGATGGCTGCTCCACGTCATCACAAGATGGCCACCACAAGATGGCTACCCCTACGTTGTCATAAGATGGCCACCCCACATTGTTACAAGATGGCTGGCAGGGGAGGGCAGTTGGGGCGACCAGGCCTGCATGGGAAGACAGTTGGGGGCAGCCAGACCTGTACTTGGGGGGGAGGGGGAGACCCAGGCCTGCAGGGGAGGATAGTTAGGGGTGATTAGGCTGGCAGGGAAGCAGTTAGGTGTCAATCATGATGGCAGGGGAGCAGTTAGGGGGCTGCCAGGCAGGCGAGTGGTTAGGAGCCAGCAGTCCCAGATTGTGAGAGGTATGTTCGACTGTTGGCAGGGATTGAGGGGTCTCAGATTGGAGAGGATGCAGGCTGGGCTGAGGACCCCCCATACACACACTCACACTCACACACACGTGCATGAATTTTATGCACCAGGCCTCTAGTATTTGTATAATTATATAGCTGAATGGAATTGCAAGCCTAGACATCTGTAATATTAATCTACATCTACTGGAGCATACTACAACAGGTACATTTGAATTTCCTGTTTAACATCTCTCTGGCACAGCAATGAGTGACTCTAAAGGAGGCCACTTTTGTTTTATAGCTGTAACTGTCCTGGTGTGTGACAGCTGCCCCAAAGGTATCCCGCTTTGATTGCCTTCTGTTAGGAGCTTTCGGGGTTGGTGTTGCATCTGGAGCCAGGTGACAAATGAGTTACTTATTTCATAGCAGATGCTACTGGCTAAGCCAGAGTAAGTGGCCTGCTGAAACAGGAATTGCTCCCCATAAAGCCCTCATCTAGAGTGATGAACATATATCCAGAATCTGCTCTTGGTTGTTTTCAGCTGCTTATAGTTTAGCTGGGCTCTTAATTATGTATTTGGAGTAAAATAACTAGAGGACTCATTTATGAGAGCATTTATAATTAAAGCATTTGGCATTTGAATTATTAAAGTTTCCCTCGTTTGTTTAGAATTCATCCAGTTGGCAAAGGACTTCGAGGATTTCCGTAAAAAGTGGCAGAAAACAGACCAAGAGCTGGGAAAATACAAGGATCTTTTGATGAAAGCAGAGACTGAGCGAAGTGCTCTGGATGTTAAGCTGAAGCATGCACGCAATCAGGTGGATGTAGAGATCAAACGGAGACAGCGAGCTGAGGCCGACTGTGAAAAGTTGGTGTGTATTATTTTCTGTGCTAGTACTGTGACACTGGGGGAGGGGGAAGAATCTGGTAATATTGTGATTTTTTAAATTGATGTTTTAGAGTGAGGGAAGTGGAGGTGAGGTGGAGAAGCATCGATTTGATGTTCCACTTATGCATTCATTGGCTGATTATATGAGCCCTGACCAGGGATTGAATGCACAACCTTGGCATATCATGATGATGCTCTGACCAACTAAGCTATCTACTTGCCAGATATGCCCAGCTTCTTATTCCGTATTAAAGAACTAAAAGCAACCTGGCCATTGACAATATGTCTGTGATTGGAACTGAAACTGCACCTTAGGAATCCTGTTCTCCATAGGTTGAAATTAAAAATTTTTTTTTCATTTTTTGACTTGACAGATTTCAAATTTAAAGAATTATAATTAGGGGGAAGGGCAGGGAAATCTATACTTGGTTTGTCACAAGACAGTTGGCCATCTCTTGTGCCACCCAGAATATCCTCAGCCTTATATCAATCAACTGTATTGCGTAAACACACTCCCCATGAAACCATAAAAAGCAACCCACCACAGCCAGGGTCTGAGCTTGGAGTTATCTTTAAAGGGACGGGATTGCTGTGAAATTGCTAGTACTTTGATACAGGTAAGACAACTCGAAGTTTTTCCTTCACTACTGCTCCTGATTCAAGATAAAGGGCTAGATATATTCAACAAGTTGAGCATTGTGGCTAACATAGAACACTTTCATTTTGGTGTACCAAGGTGGGTCATGATACAAAGGAAAGCCAGGAGGCACTGATCTACCTTAGCACAGTGTTAGATGCCTCAGTGAGCTCAAATTATCTGGTTCTAGTGTGTCATAGCTTTGTATCCATTTAATAGCATTTTGCTCCACCATTTAGAAAGGTGGGTGGCTGTTTCCATCTGTGGAAGAGCCAATAATTGTCCTGGTAAAATGACAATAAAGTGTGTGTGCTATGCAAAATTTATTTTGGGACTCTCATTTTGCAATACTCTGTCCTCTTGGATTAGCAATTTGATCCAAAAGTCTTGTAGAGAAACCCCAATTTGCTAGATGGAGTTTATTTTACCAGTCAGAAATCTGAGACACAATCTGGACTTGATGTGAATTAATATGCTATTGGTGTAACAGCTTTCCTGAAGACTCATTTGCGTAATGCTGTATTTTAATGTCTTCTGGTCTGCCCATCCCATAAATTTGAGGTGAAGCTTTCTCCCCTGGTTGGTTAGGATGTTTTATTCTGCTTTGATCTGTAGGAAAGACAGATTCAGCTGATCCGAGAGATGCTCATGTGTGACACATCTGGCAGCATTCAGCTAAGCGAGGAGCAAAAATCAGCTCTGGCTTTTCTCAACAGAGGCCAACCATCCACTGGCAATGCTGGGAACAAAAGGTGGGGGAACTGCATCTGTTGTTATCTGATCACGAGCAACACAGCTGTCAGAAGTTCTTGTTATCTGAACTCTTAAATAAACTGGTTCTGGAATGTGTGCTGAATAAAGCAGAAAAGACTTTGGAGGAAGGGTGGGTGAAAATAAAGGCACAGTGGCCTCCCTATTTCTTTTGTTTTTTAATCTTTCCTTAAGATGTTGTTTCACCATGGGTAAAATTTTGATGTTGGTGCTAAATTGCACACCAATAACTAATCCTGCAGATTGCTAAGAAACCTAAAGGTGAAAGTGGCAGTTCAGCAATACGTTCAGTGTTTACTCTCCAGAGAGCTCTTGTAGCTCCTCTGGTTTAGAAAGGTCTTCGGTGAGCCAAGACCAGACAATAATTTTGGTTCCACTGCATCTCTCTTTAAAAAAGTCTCAACTAGGCTTTGAATTTAACACCCCCAATACAGTATATAGGGAGAGGTCAGCACTCTTGGAGGCATTTATTTTGTTGCCTGATTGTTTTATGGGGAATCTTGATAACTAAGAAGATGTATGGGCTTAATTTCTTAAAAAGCTAATGCTGGGTAATACCCTCTCTTGTAGAAAGCAACCACAATTGGGATCAAATTAAACTTCACTCTCTGCCTTGTAAATTTTTAGTAGCCTGTAGTACAGACTCAGTAGGGAATAGAACCCATACCCCTCACTGTAATTTTCAGCTGTAGTTATCGGCTTTTGCTGAAAAAGCAACTGTATTGCATTCACACACTCCTCATGAAACCATAAAAGCAACCCACCACAGCTAGGGGCTAAGCTTGGAGTTATCTTTAAAGGGAGGAGGTTGCTGTGAAAGTGCTGACATTATCTGACCTGCTAGGTAACTTGTTCTGGGTGTTGGTGGATTTTACTTTTCATAATCTTTGTCTAACTTTGTATTGTTTCACTCAATAGATTGTCAACCATTGATGAATCTGGTTCCATTTTATCAGATATCAGCTTTGACAAGACTGATGAATCGCTGGTAATGAACATTTGACCTCTGAGAATTATTTATATTTCTGCTCCCTCAGGAATATCTCTGCTGTCCTTCTGGAATTCCTTTATTACTGTTATTAATTGATGTGTTATAGATACTGAGGTAGCATTAAAAATATAAATCCACACAAACTATAAGAGCCTTACTTATATATTTTATTAGTTTCTGGAAGTGGGGATATAGAATTCAGGATTTAGCATGAGATTAAATTTTAATGGATTTGTGAGCTGCATGTATTAATTTATTATATCCTGACTTAATAAAGCCCCAGCTAGCAATAAATTTTTTTTTTTTTTTTTTTTTTTTTTTTTTTTTTTTTAGCAAAGCTCTATTTGGTTAGGGCTTATTTGTTGCTCTTAGGGAGAATAGATTTGTGCCTTATTTCTGAATTAGTTTGGTTCTAGAGGGAAACTTAGTTTTACTTCACAATTAGAAGGAAAACCAGTGTTCTGGAGCTTCAGCCAGAGGACTGATGAGTTTCTAAGTGCTATATAATGCTCTGGTCAACAATGGTTAACATGTCTAAACTCTGTTACCCTGCTTTTATAGGACAGCACCCTTCTCTTTAACTTCTGATGGTGTTTCTGCATGAAGGGTCATCTCATATTTCAGTCTTTGATGTTCAGGAACCTGTTTTACTGACTGAAAGCTAGCTAACAAAACAATAAGTCAGGAGATTATTGGAGATTTGTTTCCTGGTGATAGCCAAACAAGTGACAACTACTTGTTACATGGACTATGAGTTTTCTTTCCAAATTCAATATTTGACTAGGGAAATAATTGCCATTTTATAGATATAAATATTTGGTATCTCCCTTTTGGACTAAGGAATGATACAGAATAGGTCTGGGATATATAATAAAACTAAAACATACTATTTGCTGACTTTGGAGCTACACCTCTGCTATGTTATCTGTTGTAACTGAAGCTAGGTCAAGCAAGCAATAGCCAAATTATTTGATCATGAATTGGAGAGATTAAATTTATGTAGCTAAATTACAATTTGCTGCATACAACTGTTTATGGATTTTGTGTTTTAAGGGATTATCAGGAGTAAGGAAATCACAGGTAGCTACTAAAAATGCATGTGGTTAAAATAAGTGAAGGGAAGCTAGACCGTAGTAAAAGACAAATAATTCTTCAGTGGCAAATGTCTTTTAGGGCCCAGGTGATTGAGAGAAGTAAAACCTAAACTAGAACTTTTTCAGTGGCTATACTGTACAGAACATATGATTAGACAGAAAATAGCAATCCCGTAAGAGGAAGAATCACATCTAACACGATCAGTATAGTGCCTAACATTCTCTAAGTTCTAAAACCAATTACACACATAATCAGAAACAAAGGACCAGGCACTGGAGATAATCACAACAGAAGTTGATTCTTTAACCTTTTCTTGTCTCTGTGGTATTGATTCCTGATTCTATTATAATAGCTTCAATTTTGGAAAGAAAACATGTTAACTTACTATGGCTTTGTAGGTACAATACTTGAGTTCTCCCCCCCAATTTTCTCAAATTGTAAGTTAAGGGAGTCTGACTTAAGAAGCCTTTGAAGTTCTCTGTAAATTTATTTGCACAGGGTTTAGGGGAGGCCTAACCAAAGAAAGAAATTAATACAGTGTAATTCTCAACAGGATTGGGATTCTTCTGTAATAAAGACTTTCAAACTGAAGAAGAGAGAAAAGAGGGTATGTTATTTCTTTTTATTAATTTTTTTTATCTTTATTGTTGAAAGTATTACAGATGTCCCCCTTTGTTTTCCCATTGACCCTTCTGCAGGCCTTCACCCCACTATTGTCTGTGTCCATGGGTTATGAATGTGTGTGTGTGTGTGTGTGTGTATGTGTATGTGTATTTCTCCCCCTTTGGTTGATCTCTTCCCTCCCCCCAGTCCTTTCCATCTGAGAGTCCTTAATCTGTTGCATGCTTCCATGTCACTGGATCTGTTTTGTCAGTTTCTTTTTATCCTTATCTCTTTCTTTCTTTAAAAAAAAATAAAAGTTTCCTTGTAAGTTCTACCACAATATTGCATTTCTGACTGTTGCTCTAGCCTAGTGTTCGGCAAACCGCGGCTCGCGAGCCACATGTGGCTCTTTGGCCCCTTGAGTGTGGCACTTCCACAAAATACCACATGCAGGCACGCATGTACAGTGCGATTGAAACTTCGGGGCCCATGCGCAGAAGTCGGTTTTCGGCCTGGGCGAGTCTATTTTGAAGAAGTGGCGTTAGAACACTCAAAGGGCCAAAGAGCCGCATGTGGCTCTCGAGCTGCGGTTTGCAAACCACTGCTCTAGCTATTGTTAAATACATTTTAATCCTTGCTGAGGGTGGTAACTCAGGATAGAATTCTGTCCCATTTTACTATTCTGGACTGCTCTCACTTTATTCATCATATGGAAAAGGAAATGCTTAAGTTTATTTTGAGTTGTCATATGACTTTTTATGCAGAACTTTTGTGCTCTAATAAAAGCTTCAGATGTAATGTGTGTATAATGGGATAATCGGAGGTGTGTCTGTGTGTGCTTGTTTAGGGTGCTTAATATGTTTCCAAAAACTTCTTGTCCTTAGATAGGATTACAGCTCTACTTTCTCTGCTGTCATCTAAATTTTCCCCAAGCTTGCTTGTTTCTTCAAGGGAAGGCATTTTTGTGTTGGTACAACTTAAGCTTCATGTGGAAATAGGCAGTGAGAGAGAGCACATTGTTTGTTATTTACCATAGCCTTGGATCCTAGGACTTGGATCCAAGTTGTCTAATGAATAAGTTGATCTTCTGTGCTTCAGATGTGCTTGGCAGTAAAGTTAATGGTGTTTGCCCCCTCTCTAGCGCTCCAATAGCCGACAGTTCATTGATGGCCCCCCAGGACCTATAAAGAAAACTCGTTCCATTGGCTCTACAGCAGACCAGGTAAGACCAGTCAGGCCAAGACAATTGTGCTCTTGAACACATTAAAGATTAGTGGCTCAAAACATTAAAAATTCTGAGGGAACATTGCAAGTGTTACTTTGAGAGAGAGGTTGATGAAGGTTTTTTTTTTTTTTTTTTTTTTTTTTTTTTAAATGAAATAGAGTCCTTATCCATATGAATGGAATCAGTCTGATTGAGTAAACAGCTGTCAGTTTTATGCTTGATTCTTTTTTTTTTTAAAAAAATATATTTTATTGATTTTGTACAGAGAGGAAGAGAGGGATAGAGAGTTAGAAACATCGATGAGAGAGAGTCATCAATCAGCTGCCTCCTGCACACCCCCTACTGGGGATATGCCAAGGTACATGCCCTTGACTGGAATCGAACCCGGGACCTTTTAGTCCCCAAACCAACTCTCTATCCATTGAGCCAAACCAGTTTCGGCTATGCTTGATTCTTAGTTGCTTGTATGTATACCCCTGTGGCCTATATTTCTGTCCTAAAGTATGAGATTTTGACTTAATAGTGATTTGGGCCTTAAATCCTAAAAAAGACTCGGGAATTTTTCAAGCATTTCAAAACCCTGTAGTGGAGGGGATATTAGATTTAAATGTTTTTTCTTCCCTCGTTACAATTTTGTTTCAGGGGAATGAATCCATTGTTGCAAAAACTACAGTGACTGTTCCCAATGATGGCGGGCCCATTGAAGCTACATCCACTATTGAAACTGTTCCATATTGGACGCGAAGTCGAAGGAAATCAGGTCTGCTGGGTTGTGGTTGATGGCCAGAGCATTGTATCAAACTCTACCTTAGATTGCTAGCTGGCCTATGCCATTAATGCATAACTTGTTATTCCTGATACTGTGTGTGTGTGTGTGTGTGTAGGAGTAGCCATTATATTCACTTCTTTTTTTGCGTGTTATTTTTCACTGGAGGATATTTTTCCCATTGATTTTAGAGTGTGAAAGGGACCAACCAGGAAGGGGAAAGAGGAGAGAGAGAGAAACATTGATGTGAGAGACACATCAGATGGTTGCCTCTTGCTAGTGCTCCAATTGGACAGGAGAACCTGCAACCCAGGCACATTAGTTCATGGGCCAACACTCTTAACCACTGAGCACACCAACCAGGACTCACTTTTTTTTTTAGAGAGAGAGAAAATTGTGAAAAGAGAGAGATGAAGAGAAAGAAACATCGATGTGAGAGAGAAATATCAGTTGGTTGCCTCCTGACTGGGGAATTGAACCTGCAACCTAGGTGTGTACCCTGACTGGGAATCAAACCACAACCTTTTGGTGTATGGGATGTTGCTCCAACCATTTGTTCCTCACCAGCCAGCAATGAGATAAAAGGCTATTTACTTCTGATTAATGTTACAGATTACTGGTTATCTATCAACTAGTGGCCCGATGCATGAAAATTCTTGCAAGAGTAGGCCTTCCTTCCCTTGGCTGTTGGCACCTGCTTCCCTCCGGGACCTGGGTTTACCTCTGCTGGCTGCTGGCAGGCACTCGGGGCCAGGCTGGGTTCCCTCCTCCAGCCGCCCACAGGCCCGCAGGCACCCGGACCTGGGCTGGTTTCCCTCTGGCCCTGGCTTTGTCAGGAAGGACGTCCAGCAGTTATTCAGTTTAATTACCATATTACCCTTTTATTATTACAGATTACATTGAAATTGGGGTTAAAATTCAGAAGGAACAAAATACTTAAGGTTAAAGCTGCTTGCCTTCTAGGTACTTTACAGCCTTGGAATAGTGACTCCACCTTGAGCAGCAGGCCGCTGGAGCCAAGAACTGAAACAGACAGCTCCAACACTCCTCAGAGTACTGGGGGGATGCGTCTGCATGACTTTGTCTCCAAGACGGTAAATCTCTGCTCCTCCTTTTGTGGGGCACCTATAGTTTTTCAATTGTGAGAGTAATATGTACCAGGAACAAATTTTAATACTTCAAAATAGCAGTCACCAGCCTTCCGGACCCCACAGACCACCGGTCAGCGACAGATGCTCTAACATTATAGAGTTAAATGTTGAATTTCCTTCCTCCTTCCAATCCTACTCTGAAGGGGTCACTGCTGAATTACAAAAGATATGTAGCTTTTCATTCTGGGAGGAACACTAAAATTCGAAGAAAGCAACTTTTCAGAAGCATTTCGTGCTTCTTAGTGACATATATTTATATTTTATACTTATTAAATAGCATATTTTAACTTTGTCCCATTTGATTTCCTCATAAAAACCCAAGCAAACTGACAGGCTCAGAGGAGTTAAGTGACTTATTTGAGCCACATGACAGTAAGTGGCATAGTTACATGGAAGTTTTCTGACTATGTAAACAAGTTCTTTCCACTATTGTACACTCACTGTTCCCTTCCAGTGGATTGACTTTATGCAAGTTACTTAGCCTCTTTTTGCATCTGTTTCCTTAAATAAAAACACCACCTATTTCATGGGATTATTGTGAAATTACACAAACAGATAAGGGTAAAAAAGGACTGGAAAGCTGTTCAGCACATCCTAAGTGCTTAAAGTGGTTGATGATGTTGATAATTTCCTAATTCGTACCGCTCTGTTCCTTCTGCCCCATTTCATCCTCAGGTTATTAAACCCGAATCTTGTGTTCCATGTGGAAAGCGGATAAAATTTGGCAAGCTGTCTCTGAAGTGCCGAGACTGTCGTGTCGTCTCTCATCCAGAATGTCGGGACCGCTGTCCCCTTCCCTGCATTCCTACCATGATAGGAACACCTGTTAAGATTGGAGAGGTACGGCCTATGGAAAGCATTGTGTTAGGGCTTATTATTAGCTTTTCCGCAGCTGAATGTCATTTTTGTTCTAAATTATGCTAAGTATGTTTTCCACGAGTAATGAATACAAATTATAAAATGTTAACTTGCAGTCGGGTCCTGTATGGGTTAGTCTGTTTTATAACCATTCTAGACCAAAAGTCCTCTTCCTTTACCTGCCCTCCCTTCCCCTTTCTCCTTCCCTTTTCCCCCCTCCTCACGCTTCCTCCTTCTCTTTCTTGTTTCCATTCTCTCCTTTACTTCCTCCCCTCTCTTTTCTCATCTTCTTTCCTCTTCCCTTACCTCCCTTCCCCGTCCTATCCTATTTTGTAAAATTTGAAACATGCAAAACTAGAGAGATTAGTATAACTAATTCCCTGTTTTTATCACTCAAATTCCACAATTACTAATTCATGTCTAGTCTTGCTTTATCAATATTCCTATCTCTCCCTCTTGGCCCTGTCCAGTAAATTATTTTGAATCAAATCCCAGACAACATATAAGTTCATCTATGAATATCTTTTTTCTCTTATGTTAGAGATATCCCATACAAGGCTATTAAGATTAGGTTGCTTATTTCTAAAAATCTATTTAATCCTTCAAGAAAGTATTTATTGTTCAAGCAACATTAGCAAGAACAAAGCAAAATGACTAAGCTACTACCCAGCCCCTAGCAAATCAAATGTTATTTCCCTAATCTTAAGAATTCTTATTTGTGCAAAGATTTTTTTTTTTAAACAAATTTTCTGTATTCTGATATAGTACTATGGAGTTATCCCTTAAAGGTAAGGCTGTGTCACAGCAATTGAGTTGTATTTATGTTCCTTACTAAGAATTAATTTAAAATGCTTTCTTTTTTAAAAGCAACAAATTAGTTTATATTAAAGGCCTTACCTGTAATCTCATTATTGCTTTTTTCTGATGCCCTTGTGTATTAGAAAAACAAGGATGCAGTTGTAGCTAGTGGTTTTATTACTTGTGCATGAAGAGTGTGGTATCTTTGACCATAAATCAGTCCTGGTGTGGAGGTAGGAAACATAATTGAGTGTCTCTGTTCTAATATATGCGTTGGGAATAGGAATTTAAAGGAGACATGCTGTACCAGCCCGAGTATTGGTTGGGACATGGTTCTGCACACTGGTCTAGATCTGCTGGTCTAAGTGGTAAAAATGATAACTTAAAACGTTCCGTTTCAGGGAATACTGGCAGATTATGTGTCCCAGACTTCTCCAATGATCCCCTCCATCATTGTCCACTGCGTAAATGAGATTGAACAGAGGGGGCTGACTGAGGTAAGCATGAACCTGGAAGAGAGTGAATTTGTTACTTGTGTTAACACTTATGAGCTTCTTAACTGAGAGTGTCTTCTCGATAACAGACAGGCCTATATCGGGTCTCAGGCTGCGACCGGACAGTAAAAGAACTAAAAGAAAAATTTCTCAGAGTGAAAACTGTACCCCTCCTCAGCAAAGTGGATGACATCCATGCTATCTGTAGCTTCCTGAAAGACTTCCTTCGAAACCTTAAAGAACCGCTTCTGACCTTTCGGCTGAATAAGACCTTTATGGGAGCAGCAGGTAAGAGCAGATCTTTTTTAAAAAACATATTTTAGCCGAAACCGGTTTGGCTCAGTGGATAGAGTGTTGGCCTGCTGACTGAAAGGTCCCGGGTTTGATTCCGGTCAAGGGCATGTACCTTGGTTTTGGGCACATCCCCAGTGGGGTGTGTGCAAGAAACAGCTGGTCGATGATTCTCTTTCATCGATGTTTCTAACTCTCTATCCCTCGCCCTTCCTCTCTGTAAAAAATCAAAAAAAAAAAAAAAAAAAAATATATATATATATATATATATATATATATATTTTTTTTTTTTTTTTTTAAAATATATTTTATTGATTTTTTACAGAGAGGAAGAGAGAGGGATAGAGAGTTAGAAACATCGATTAGCTGCCTCCTGCACACCTCCTACTGGGGATATGCCCGCAACCAAGGTACATGCCCTTGACCAGAATCGAACTTGGGACCCTTGAGTCCACAAGCCAACGATCTATCCACTGAGCCAAACCGGTCAGGGCTAAGGGCAAATCTTAATATTTGAGTGTGAGTCCCACAGGAATGTTTGAATGTTTTTGTTTGCAGTTTTATCCCCATCTAGTAAAGTGCCTGAAACATAGCAGATACTCAGATACTTTGATGGATAAAGAACTATGTCATGTTGCCCATGCCTGTTTTCTTCCTGTCTAAGCAGTAGGGCTCTCATAGTCTTTTGTTGTTGTTTGGCCAAGTTTTAGGTTGGCCTTTTGAACTTAGAACCATCTTTAATTTCTTTTTCTCACATTTCACATTTAATCCAGAGGCTGGCAAATCTTGTATGCAAAGATCTTGTAAAATATAGGCTACATTTGAAAATTTATGGTCCTACTACCACTCTGAACATTTCTCACCTGGAGTAATGTAAGAACTTCCTGTTTTTCCTGTTACTACTCTTACCCTCTGAGGTAGAGTAGTTAGAGCGGTTCTTTTATTTTATTTTATTTATTTATTTATTTATTTATTTATTTATTTTAAAAAATATATTTTATTGATTTTATACAGAGAGGAAGGGAGAGAGATAGAGAGTTAGAAACATCGATGAGAGAGAGTCATCGATCAGCTGCCTCTTGCACACCCCCTACTGGGGATATGCCTGCAACCAAGGTACATGCCCTTGACCGGAATCGAACCCGGGACCCTTCAGTCCCCAAGCCGACCCTCTATCCACTGAGCCAAACCGGTCCCGGCTAGAGCGGTTCTTTTAAATTACATGATATTATTTCTGTCCTCAGTGTCCTCCAATGGCTTCCCTTCATTCACAAGATAAAATCCAGTCCTTAGCATGGCCCAAAGACCTTGCATGATTTGGCTCCTGGTTTTGTATCCAGTATTATTTCCTTTTATGCCCTTCCCTTCTTTCTTTCCTCTCCAGGTACAACGAGTTCTTGCAATTCTTAGAACATACCAACCCTCCTGGCCTTCACAGTAGTTGCAGAAATAATATTTGCATGGTTTGCTTCTTTTATTTCTTTCAGGTTTCTTTTTGAATATCTTTTCCTCAGAAACCCCTTTCCTGACCAGTTTTTCTAAAATAACAGCTTCCATTACTTTCTAGCTTCTTGCCTGCCTTATTTTATTACATGTGTTACTACCTAGTAGATATTTGCTTTTTTTAGTAACTCCTCCAGTAGTACCTGGCACATAGTAGGCCCATAAACATGTTCTATGATCGAATGCCTTCTTGATAATTGTAGTCATAGCAGTTGTATGTCTGCCTTCCTGCACATGCTTTCCCTACCTGCAAGAACTGGTTTTTTAAAAGTTCTGATTTCTAATATTGAACTGTTGGCCAGTATCCTGCTTGTTAATGAACCTAGAGTCTGATGTAGTCATGAACCTAATCAGAAGTTTCAGGAGCTTACTGTAGAGATGAGACTTTGTGGTCGATAACTTGGACGCCTGCTGTCAAGGGAAAGCAGTCTTAGGCCTTTTGGTACTTTCCATTTATAGAAATCACAGATGAGGACAACAGCATAGCTGCCATGTACCAGGCTGTTGGTGAGCTGCCCCAGGCCAACAGAGACACATTAGCTTTCCTCATGATTCACTTGCAGAGGTAAGCACAGCAGAAAGTTGTTTCTGGGAGTTAGGGAATTTTCCAAGGGAAGACAATGTGGGTTGGGTGTCAGGGAGGTGAATTGTTTTCTTGTAGAACTTGTATTTTGGTCTGTGTTTAAGTGGAGGAGCAAGTCTTATAATATAATGTTCTTTTGCTTAGAGTGGCTCAGAGCCCAAACACGAAAATGGATGTTGCCAATCTGGCTAAAGTCTTTGGACCTACAATAGTTGCCCACGCTGTGCCCAATCCAGATCCAGTGACAATGTTACAAGACATCAAGCGTCAACCCAAGGTGGGCAATCATATTTATACATGAACTTGTGTGATATGATAACATGAGAGACTGGTGAGAGATAAGCCCTGAGATTTGGAAGCTTGCTAACGTATTTGGTGGCTTTTAGGTGGTAGAACGCTTGCTCTCACTGCCCCTGGAATACTGGAGTCAGTTCATGATGGTGGAACAAGAGAACATTGACCCCATGCATGTCATTGAAAACTCAAATGCCTTTTCAACACCACAGACACCAGATATTAAAGGTAAGGCCCTAGTTGTGCTTTTTAAAAGACCTTTAAAGACTTAGTCATGGGCTGTTTCCCTGCCTTTGCTAGAGTTATTTGAAATTCATATTCTTCAATAAAAATTAAAATCGTTTTGAGAATGCTAACGTTGAAGGAGAATTTATACAGATCTACTATCTTGATTTTCCTCACCTTCTATGTTCTTCTTTACCCATATGGAAAGTAAAAAACATAGATACAATAATAATTTATATATAATTTATCCTTATGTTTCTTGATATGTCTTACCAATTTGATTTCTTAAAAGCTTTGCCAGTTTGTAGGAGGCTGGTTTTATTCCAACCTCAGTGGCACTGGCAACCTCACATGTTCTTTCATTATAAGGTAGCATATTATTTCTTGTAATATAGGTAAAAATCAAGTGGTCAAATGTTAGATTTGTGTAGTTTGAAGTTTGAGGATGGCCTAAATCAGGAAGTGAATGAATGTCAGCAATTCATAGTTCAAAAGATACACTGGTGTGTTACACGATGACAGGCATGATCTCTGGGCATTGCTAGGTCTCTAGCCTTAGTTCTTAAGTACTTCATAGGGATTTCAGCTTAAAACTGGCCACCTTTATGGGTGCTTTTTTTTTCTCTCCTCCTTTAAAAATATGCTTAACTGTGATTGAAGTGAGTTTTCTGGGGCCTGTGACCACGCCTGAGCATCAGCTTCTCAAGACGCCTTCCTCCAGCTCCCTGTCGCAGCGAGTCCGCTCCACGCTCAGGAACACGCCCAGGTATGGGGATTGCCTGCTTAGATCTCTCTCCCACCATACTGAAGCTAATTCAAAGAAAGATAGAATTAGATCTTAGCTAGTGGCTAGATTTTAAAAGGAAACCTGGAGCCATAAGGATCCCTCTTTACAGTCCCAGCCCCCCCATCTTAGATGACTAAGTAGCTTACAGAGTAGTTTTTGAGGAGTTTCTACTTTTAGTTCATTAAATCATCATGTTATAGTTGTTCATTTACTGTTTTTTCATAGAATACTTTTTCTAGTATATTCTCTTTTTCTTCAGGTTTGGGAGCAAAAGTAAGTCTGCCACAAATCTAGGACGGCAAGGCAACTTCTTTGCTTCTCCAATGCTCAAGTGAAGTCGCATCTCCTGTTACTTCCAGCATTTACTGACTGCAAAGGAAGGACGCACCTGTACTCTCTGCTCGCAGCCTCCTGCACTCGTTACTACTTTTAGCATTCTCCAGGCTTTTAATCAAGTGTAATTGTGCATGGGGGTTTCATACTATATATATCTTCCTCTCTTTCTCTCAAGGGATGTAACATCAACACCTTGTGCTGTGGTTGGGAGCTTTTAGATGGGAGCTCTTTGTAGGGGTAGAGGGCAGTATGAAATTCATTGTGATTGCAAGGGGCTGTGGTGGGGAGGGCCTCGTCCCTTTGCCTGAAAGCTAAATGCTGCTCATGGAATGACATTTCTGTGGTATTACTTAGAACTTATTTTTGTGAGGCGATGATAGAAGCCCTACCTTTTTAGTAAAATTGACTTGTCTCAGAGTGGGAGGTGGGAGGGCAGGGTAAAAACAGGTTTGGATAGAGGATTTAGGATGGCTCCTGAGAATTGGACATCTCTCTTTCTTCATGATGAACTGGAGCTATAACCCGGAGCCTTCATAAAAATGGGACAGGGTGAGGACAGAACTAGTGATGGGTGTATTTTGGATTGATTAGGTTTAGTAGTGATAAGTGGCACAGCCTTGTAAAAGTGACACTTTTTGTATTTATCGCTAATGGGCCTCTGGCTGAATTTTGGCTTTGGTGGGGGTCAAGGCCACTTTGTTTATAAAATGAATTCATTCTGATGCCTGAGCCCTGCCTGTCTGATGGAGCCGTAGTGGTCAGTATGCTGTCTATTTGGCATTCCACTAACAATTAAGAGTAGGCTACAGGGGAGATTGTCAATATTTTGTGTGGCAAGAAAAGCCACATTTTTGTCTTTGCACTTTGGATGCTAAAATCTTCCTGTATAACATAGCACATCTAGATAAATGAGAGTTTTCTTTTATTAAATTTATTTCCAATGTCTATAAAAATGTGTTTTTCTATAGAATGTTTATGACCTATATTGACCCTTGTCTGTACAATACATATTTGAAATAATATTTGGAAAAAAGTAAATAGTTTTTTCAAAGTGAACATGAGGTTGGTTGTCTTGTCCTGGAAGGTAACGTTTAACATCTTTTTAAAGAAAATACTACTTTTTCCTCTTAAGTGTTTTGAGTCTGTTCATCTCCGTTCCGTTACCACACAATCTTTACCACCAGCGGTAGTTTGTTTGTTTCTCATTGTCTCTTTTGTTGTCCATATTAAAGTCCTGGATTTGTCCCTTTGATTGTTACCCTCTAATTTTAAGAAACTACTTTAAATAAAAAAGCAAACAAACTTAAACAAGTTTTTGGGGACCAGAATGGTGCAGATTTTTAAAAACCATGATGCTGGCTGGCTGGCTGGCTGGCTGGCTGCCTGGAAGGAACATCGTTCACTGCTGGAAGTGACTCTGGAGTGAGCTGGATGATTAACTGAGGGCACCTGCACTCGGAACTCTGAAGCTGGTGAACAGAATGTATCTGAGATTGAACGGAAACAGTTGCAGGCTTAATATGTAATAGCAGAGAGAGGAGGCAACCTACTGGCTTTTTTCCCAGGAGGTGGCACTCTCACAGCAGGGCCCATCTGCCTCAGCAAACTGACAGAGGACGGGTCCCTTCTCCCCGTCTCGCCTTTGCTCACACAAGCCCGTTAGGTTTTGTTTTTTTAAACTTTGTCCTAGGTGCCATTCCTTTCCTTGTGTCTCTGCAAGCCTAGTGTTGGCCCAGCTCCATATTTGCTGTTCTGTAGTATCTCCCCAAGGTGCATTTTAAGTCACTAATGCAGAGGAAGTAAATGGATTGTAGAACGTTAGTAAGGCAAGGCTTCCCGATGCAGGAACTGATGGCCCATTAAGGAGAAAGAAAATGGTCCTGTGTGTCAGATGCTGGCAGGCAGTTGCTCAGTTTGGGGCTAGGCTACGAGACCTTGGCCATGAAAATAATTCTGATATTAGCAAAGGGAAATATGTACCCACCTCCAACTTCTTTAACAGCACTTCATGTGGAACAGCTTGCCTTTCCACTTTCAAGGGCTTTCTTAATTAAATTATACTTCCTATGTGAGATCTGTGAAAAGGGGTCAGTGCTTTGGAGTGGCTGTCACCTCTATCTCCTGCTCCCAACCCTTTCTGCTGCTCCCTCTTGCTCCTTCTTTAATGCAGTTGAACTTGACTGTCCCACTTGCTAATAACCAGAATCTTTAAATCTATTCTTCTATTATCCGTGTAAGTCTCCTGAGTTTGCTATTTATTTAACTGGGCAAGCATTGCACAGTTTGGTTCAGCAGCAACGATTTGCATTTTTACTGGATGTTTAATGACTTCTTCCTTAAGGTGAATTCATTGCTTGCAGAAATAGAAGGCAAGAAGGCATCTGGTTTTGATTCGAGGGCTATAGGGTGTTCAGGTGATTCACTGTGGTAAATGTAGTCATTTTGGGGGCTATAAACTAACCCTGTGGCATTGAAAGGGGTCTTGAATCCTTATAGTCATGGTTAGATTGTTGGATAGCACAAAATGACAGGTAGTGCTGAGTGATTGCAAGGAACACAGCCTCGAGGCTTGCTGTGTGTTTATTTTGTTACAGTAGGGCCTCCCTACCCACCTCAAGCTTCAGATAGACAGGCACGTACCTATGCATATGCGTACGGTATATGATTTCCTATTGGAAAAGCATGTGGGAGACCCACTGCTGTGCCTGGTACACCAAGCAGTTTGCATAATCATGCATCACCTTTTCTCACTCTCATCATGAGCAAGGAGAGAGCCATTGTGCAATGCAGATCTGAGAAGCGAGGGTGGCAGAGCTCAGTATTCAAGTCGCCATGGCTCACACACTAGGTTCTTGTTCAATGCGCATCAATGATAGTCTTGGTCATGACTCTGAAGCTGAAGCCACTGATGCAAAAAGCTTTTTAAGCAAGCAGGTTTGGGGCATGTTTGTCATGGTGTTTTTAGTATAAACAGGGTTTGGAGAATGGCCACTTAACCTAAGAATTTAATTATTTTTAAAAATCTCCCTGTAGCTGGTATATTTTGTAAATAAGTGATGGCCCTAGTCCAGGAGGTCCTTGTATGACTTAATTAGACGGGTTCTGAGTCTGTGTTTGTTGACGGTTTCTATTCACGAAGTCAGGCGGAAGACAGCTTGACATCACCAGGAATAACCTTGTAGTGTGTGGGAGCCGTCTCCTCTGCAGTCATGTGGGCTGAGAAAGGAGGCCACTTTTCAGGGACTCAGAGTTGGAAGCAGGAATTTTCCCTTTTGTCTACCTTCTCTATAAGTCTTGCCTGCTGCACTTAAATGCATGTTTTTATATAGCATTATTCTCACATCTCACACAGGTGGATACCATCTGTGTGCTAGGCTCAGACACATGGAAATGGAGAGTTAAGACTTCTAATCAAGCACTTGCAAGTTCATACCTTCTCTGGTTATCAGTGAAGATGGACTTGGGAACTGATTCCCCACAGAGCCTTCTCGGGAAAGTAATGTGATGGTTTACAGTGTGCAAAGTGCTTTCATTTATCATCCACTTGATCGTCACACCTACGTATGGTGGACAGGATTGGTGATATCCCAATTGACAACTTCAGAGAGGTGATGGCTCAAATTCCCACAGGTCTATAGTTTGGCTGGGATTAGAGCCTGGGGATTGCAGCCCCACTCTGGAGGTCAACTGTGGTGCTTGCTACTTCAGATTCTTCAATATCGTGGACTTGTTAGTACATTATCTATATATATAAAAGCCTAAGTGACCAACTGACCCCTCGCTATGACATGCACTGACCACCAGGGGGCAGATGCTCAATGCAGGATCTGCCTGCTGGCAGTAAGTGTGCTCCCACAGCAGGAGTGCCACTCAGCTGACCATCCCATCCCAGTGGCCTACAAGCCTGGTGGCCCACAAGCCCAGCAGCAGCCACTCCCTCCCTCAGTAGTCCTACAGGTCCAATCTCTGGAAAATGGGCCAGGCACTGACAGACTGGCACTGCTGGCACGATCCCGACAGCATCGCCCCCTGGAAGTCAGCCTCGGGTACTGCGGCCCGCTTCTCCTCCCTAGACACTCCACAAAGAAGAAATGATATAAAAGTGGCCGCCAGATGGCTCCTGACAACCGGAGCGAATGCCAGTGAGATGGATCCGGATCACGGCCAGCAAGGGCATCCCACAGCCCTCCCGGAGGGCCGATTGCATCTCAACTCCCCCCCTCAGTCTCCATTGGGACAGGCGCCAGATGCAGGTCCCACAGCTGGTGAGTGCCACTGCGGCTGCTGCAGCAGTGTGAGCCTCTCCTGATTAGGACCGACTGGGCGCGAGCCTACAGCAGGCCCAGCGGGGCTGGGATGAGTGGTAAAAGCAGGCAGGAGCAGCAGGTGGCGTTAGACTGCCAGTTTTGGCCCAATTCCCACAGGTTACTCCAAGGGATCCCACCTGTGCATGAATTCAGGCACCAGGCCTCTCGTTAGGCACATAAATGATTCCACTCATTTCTGTATGTGGATCTGCTTTTGTGCTCTCAACAGATGACCGGAAGAGCAGGGAGGCCCAGGCTCCTGGGAAAGCGTTTGGGATGGGAATGTCTTGTGATTAGGGTTGTTGTCTGGTGGAATGGAAGACCTGTGCTTGGTGATCCAGCGCTGCATTCCGTGTGGAAGGAGGAGGAAGAGCTGGTGTGGGTTTGTGAGGTTACTCCTGGTGGGAGTGCATGTGCATCTTGTGTGCTCTGAAGCTCAGAGCCAAGAACAGGCAAATCTCTGAACCAAAGCCATCAGCCTGCTTCTAGAAACGTGTCAGCGGATTAGCTTATTGGCTTTTCCCCTGAGTGGCATTAGCTCTCACCCCGACTCATGTTCACCATCTGGCTTTGAGTGAGAAGTCTTTGAGCGATCTCTCTCCAGCAGCCTGCTCTGTGCCAGGGCTTTCTGAGGGCTGTTCAGCTTCCTCCCTCAACCAACGTGAGGGCCCAGTGCTCTCTAAGAAGAGGTT